TAAAAAACTCACCAATATTGAAAACTCTATACGAACTTCACAAAAATGCCATCCCTTTCCAAAATTTGAAATTTCTCCGAAATTTTAAGATAAAGCAGTTTCTTCACTGAACCAAAACTTATTTTTTCAATCATTGATGGAAATTACAATTTGTGAAGTTTGGTTTCTGCTGGATATTGACGCATCTACTATTTTTATTACTTTAAATGTAAAGCAATAAAATTTATTTTTACGCACAACAGGCCTTTAAGGCCTAGGGCATTTTTTTTAAACATAATCCTAATATTAACTAAATACAATTATTTTAAACAAAACTTTGACTTAAATATGTATGTACAACATTCTTAACTACTCTGAAGGACCTGGTGGACAATATTTCTCCATTCGCTTCTATTTTATGGTTTTCTTTTCCAGTCCCTCACCTTCACGTGTTTAAGGTTTTCCTCCACTTTACTAATCCACCTCGTTCTGGGTCTACCTCTTCTTTTGGGGTCGATGAGTTTTCTGTTTCTTTGGTATACCCAAATGTTCCATTGCTCGATACATTTTTACTCTATCGACTCTATTATATGCTTGTCTAAAATCCACAAAAAAAACATGCAGGGGAACTTTACTTTCATAACAAGTCGTTTGTATCTCCTTTAATGAGAAGATTTGGTCTACAGTAGATCTCTCCTTTTTAAAGCCGGCCTGATACTCATGTAGGATTCTTTCCGTGTTGCAATTTAGTTTATTTCTCAATATTCTTGCCAAGATTTTGAATACCGTGTCTAGTAAGGCTATACCTCTATAGTTGTCACACTTTAGTTTGTCTCCTTTTTTATGCAGAGGGCATATGCGGGCTTCATATAACTCCGATGGCATTATTTCGTTTTCCCATACTTGCACTAGTAGCTGATATATTTTTCTTTGTAGTTGTTCTCCACTAAACTTGATCATTTCTATGCATATGTCATTTTTACCAGGACTTCTGTTATTTTTCATTTCATATATTGCTGTCACCACCTCCTCCTCTGTAGGCTGCCTTTCAACTATCGCATCTTTTCTAACCGTGCAGTTGGCTACTGCTTCGTGGTCCACCTCACCATTTAATAGTTCTTCAAAATGTTTTTTCCATTACGTCATTATTTTTGCCGGATCGCTAATTAAATTTCCGTCTTTACTTTTCATATAACTACAGTGGCTTTGGTAACCTTTTCCCATCTTTTTAACTTGTTGATAGAACGATCTCACCTCTTTGTTTTTAAACTTCTCTTCTATCGCTTTTAATTTCAACTCATTGTGGTATCTCTTTTTCCTTCTACACAGAGTTTTCAATCTTCTTTGAATTATTCTATATTCTTGTTTTTTACACTCTCTATTATCTGTTAATATTTGCTGTCTGATTTTTTTCTTTTCCTTTGCTATCGCCTGACACTCTTCGTCAAACCAATCTTTGTTTGTACTTCTCTTGGAGTCGCACTTAACTATTTTCTCGCTAGCTTCTCCTACAGCAGATTTAATTTGTTCCCAGGCTTGATCTGTCTGTAAATTTTTGTCACACTGTTGTAGAATTTTATTTATCTCTTCTTTATATTTATTTTTTATTTCTACTTCCTTAAGTTTTTCAATATTGTACTTTCTCTTCGTTTTATTGTTCGATTTATCTTTTTCTTCCAGCCTCCTCCCACATGTGACTTTAACGAGCGAATGGTCCGAGTCGATTTCAGCTCCTCTCATACTTCTTACCTTCTGAATAATTTTCATATATTTACTTTTAATCATAACATGATCTATTTGATTCACCGTCCTTCCATCTGGGGAGACCCACATACCTTTGTATATCTCTTTTCGTTTTAGTTGAGTGCTTCTCAGCACCATGTTTTTCTCCATGGCAAATCCAAGAAGTCTTTGACCATTATCGTTTGTTACTTCGTGTTTACTATAGTTACCAGTTACTGCAGTGTACAGAGGTTCTTTTCCCACTTTAGCATTACAATCACTCATTATTATTTTTACATCACGTTTAGGTAGGCGCTCGTATTCATCATTTAGCTGCTCATAGTAAAGATCTTTTATTGCGTCGTCCTTGTCTTCTGACTGTGCATGAATATTGATTATACTCTAATTCCTTTTCTTACTTGTAATTCGTATTGAACACATCCTATCAGAGATAGGATTAAAAGTCCCTTTGTCCTTGATACATTCAGATACTAAAAAACCAGTTCCAAACATTCTATCTTTACCTCCACTTTTGAAGAGCACCATATCTTCTATATCAGTTATTCCCGATCCTAATTATTTTGTCTCTTGAAGAGCCATTAAATCTATTTTATACTTCCTTGCCTCATTCATTAGTTCTTTTAGCGCACCTTCATAAAAGGTTCCTCTGACATTCCATGTAGCTAAATGTATCTTGTTCTTTCTTCGGCTTTACCTTTGTATTACTGTCTTGTTTTGTTTCGTTTTCATAGTTCGTAATCCTTTTCTTCGCATTGTTCGTCTTCATTTCTTTCCTTTTCATGCTGGTGCTTAGTTTTTTGCTTTGGTCTCTACCACCAACGTTTGGTTCATTCCATCCCAGCGCCATATTTCCTGGTCGAAATATATTTTCTTATATCCTACTTTCACTTTTCTCCCTTCTTTTCTTAGTTCTTGCGCTTTCTGTCTGACATATTTCTGTACAATTCTATCCTTCTTTGATAGGTCATCATTGATATAAACTAGACATTTTCTTCTTTTTCTTAATTTGCTTTTGTTTCGCATGACTTTTCTTTTGTCCTCTTCCTTTTCAAGCTGAACCAGACAGACTTTTTCTCCCAGCTTCACAACCTTCTCTATTTGAACATCGATTGCTAATTCTACCTGCATAAAATTTTTTATTTCAGTTTTTAAGCGTTCGAACGATTTCCGAAGCGGAAATTGAAACGTCAATAAACGTATTTTTATCTTTAATTGTGGCTTATTCCCAGTTCATCATCATCATCACAGTCATTAACATCTTAGTAGACGTGTTGTGGTTCATAATTGGGCGTCAGCAGCTCGGACAGTTTTATTGATAATATTTCTCTATCGCTGTAGAGATCTTCCGCGTTGGCGTTGAGTCTGAGGCCTTCCTTGGATCACTAACCGCTCCATTTTGTGGAGCCAACTATTTATATTTTTCTAATAAAAGATCAATTAAAGCACTTAGTAGACTCTGGCTTTAATATAAAATTTATTTGGGTTAAGGCACATATTGGACTCAAAGATAATGAATATGTAGATTACTTAGCTAAAACCAGTATAATATCAGGCACTTTATTGCCATATTCTTTATGTGTATCAGATGCCATTAGGATATTTAAAAAAAAAACAGCTAGCGACATGGAAAGATCAATGGAATCTTTACTGCCTTACAAACCAAACAAGATACACCACTTTACAACCAGTTATTCCACACGCTACTTGGTTTAAGAATTTTAAATCTCCACGTAAATATATAACCACCATAAATATACTACGCTTTGGACATGCGTGTTATCCAAGTCATTTATATAAAATAAATGTGATTGAAGATGATAATTGCAAACATTGCGGAAAACTGGGTGATCTTGATCACATCTTTTTTGAATGTGCTAAGTTTCAACAGCATTCAAACTCTCTCTACAAAAAATTAATCGAATTTAATATGTATGCACCATTCAATATTCAGTCGTTACTGGCGACAGGCTCACAAAATATATATAATATCATTATAGATTTCTTGTCAGACACATGCATGGTTCTATAGAATTTGTACTCGAGCATGAAATGTTTCATGATCGTGTGGAAATTTAGATTTGTATTTGTAAATATGGAAAAGACCAGAGTTGAAACGAGTCTCTTTTTGTTTGTCATAGTAATGTGGCGATCACGCCAGACCCCGTTTAGTTCACTCATTGCTGCTCTTGCTAGTTGAATGCGTCTTCTAATTTCGGATTCACAACTGCCTGTGTTGTTAACTAGAGCTCCAAGATATATCATAGATGAGACTACCTCGCATCCCGCAATAGTTTGGGTTTCAGGAAACTGTTGTTGGCGATCAATAACCATGATTTTGGTTTTGTTGTAGTTAACCATGAGTCCAAATTTAGCACTTTCTACCTCGAGTTTTTTTAATAATTTAATAATTTCTTCTGGAGTAGAGGCTAGAAGTGGCTATTCCCAGAAGAGCAAGAGTAGAGGCTAGAAGAGGCTATTCCCAGTTAAATAGTAATTAATTTAAAATGCCACAAGAAAATAGCTTCAGAACAATAGTAATAGAACCTCCGAGCACATTCCTCAGATTTCTTGATTCTAGTTGCATCTTATTAGTTTAAATTTTACAGAAGAATTCCGATATGCGCAAAAATCAAACCTTCAACTGACTTAAAAGTTATTTTTTTAAGATTTAACATTAACCGAATTAAAAAAAAATACTGATAAAGATAAAAACAGCAAAAATATTTAGCGCAGTTTAAAAAGTTTTTGTTTTTTTACATTTACTACATCATTTAAATTTAACAACAAATATGTATTAATTAACAAAGTTAACATAAGTTAAAGAGGTTTTACCCACACATTTAGTGGCTTCACTCATGTATACCTACTAAGTGTTCAACCACGTGTTCTTTGACTTTGGTCAAAATTTCATATTTATGTTAGCTTTAATTAAAGTGTTGACACTTATTTTAGGTAACTGCACTGACGATGGACTTATTAGTCCGAAAACGTTCTGTGATGTAATCCGAAAGGGCAATTTTAGCATGTAATTATACCTTTTATAAAGGATTTTTTAAATAAAAGATTTTATGATTCATTTATACAAGCAAACTACAGGAATTTCATTTTCCTTGTGGATTTTAAATATTTACAGTTTACAAGTATATTTAAATTGGCAATAATTTTATAAAAGTATTAATTGGTGCTTTAATTTCTTATGGAGCCGTATATATTATGAGCCATAAATTGATATATTTTTTTTTATTTTGTTGTCTCCAAGATTCATCTTATATTTTTAGTTTTTCAGACTGTAAATACTTCAGAGATTCCGTCCAAATACAATCAGAAGTAGTTAAAGTAGAATGCTTCAACATATTCTACAAAGTATACGAAAACGTCCATGCTATATTCAGGCAACCAGCGCAAACCGTCCAAAACGTCGACAAACCAAATGTAATCCTGCTTGGAATCGACAGCGTTTCAATGTCCAATTTAATAAGAACAATGCCAAAAACTTATGCGTTGCTAGAAAGTACCAATTGGATACGATTGACAGCATACAATAAAGTAGAGGACAATACATTTCCTAACCTTATAGCAGTGTTGGCAGGAGTTAAATTTTCGTATCATGAGAACTATCCGGAAAATAATGTCTGCAATCCTTATGATACGAAGTCATTGAACAACTGTAATTTCTTATGGAAAGTTTACAAGGAAAATAATTATAGCACAGCATATGCAGAGGATACGCCAGAACAAGGTAAGGGTTGTAAATTGTTGAGTGTGCGAAAAAGAGAAGTTTTTTTTATTATTTTAATAGACATGATCGATTTTAGAATCTTTAGGTTAGCATTTAATTAGTTTTGGTGTTTATAAGAGCGACGGTGATTAGATATGTGATGTATCGATAGCAGTTGGTTTGAGAACGGTATGCTTCATATATTGTTCAGATATAAACTTCTATTAGACGTATCGTTGTTACAATAAATGCGATTCTTTTTCTTTAATTCCTTTTCTATCGGGGATTAGATATCACCAAGGCTAATCTTGTGTTCACTATCTAAAGTTTCTCATCCAAGACATTCTTATGCGGCCTATATTTCTTCGTCCTTCAATCTTTGTAGTATGGTTTGCAGAAGTATATATTTTTGTCAAATCATTAGATGGTCCACATATTTTAATTTTCTCTGTTTTTTTTATTAACTCCAATTCAAATTACAACATAACCAAAAATAAAGAAGAGTAAGTAATTTGTTTCGTTACAAAGCGTGTAGGGGCCTCTTCCAGTGTAGAGTTATTTTTATTTATTTAGTAATTGTAAATGTTAGAAATTTATTATAAATAGTTTAATTAAAATATATGTTAGTTAAAAGCAATAAAATACTAAAACACACAACAACTACATATCACATAATTAGGGTAGAATTTAAAATAGGTGCAATTGGTTTTGCTTAAACAGTAAATCTGTTTGGTAGATCACTTGCTTTAAAACGTTTCAGTCTACGCGCTTCATTATTGTCATTTAATAACTGCTTCACGAGTACTTTTATGAGATGCACTTTTATCCGTTCACCATACTTGACATTGTACAGTGCCAGGAATCTAGGCTGCACAAGAATGTCTTGGATGAGAAACTTCATATAATGAACATAAGAACATAAGAATAGTTAACATGGAAACGGTGGTGAGGCAGGTCTGTCTAGTCATTAACGAAGACAAAACCAAGTACATGTTGGTTAATAAGGATCCTACAGCAAATAAGGAACGGAAAACAGCATTTGGAAGTCATATCTTTGAACGTATTGACAGTTTCACATACCTTGGCTCGCTAGTTACTACTTCCAATAAAACAGGCAAAGAAATTAAAAGACGAATAAACCTTACAAATAGAACATACTATGGACTCCAAAAACAATTCCAACCAAGAAATATCCAAAGAAAAACTAAAATTATTATGTACAAAACACTGCTGTCGACTCCGGTGGTCATGTCCTTTATAGAAGAAGGTGAAGACATACGCCAGTAATTCCCGCAGTACTTGTGGGCTATGTTTTAATAATTCCTTTGATATACCTTGTGGTCCGCATACTTTTCGATTTTTTAGACTTCGTATTGCATCTTCGACACCCTGTACTGTTATTTCATCTTATTCCACTTCATATGTTGTTGTAATGGTGTTCGTGAATTGCGGTCTCGTTTCAGTCAGCAGTTGTGAGTAATGTTCGATCCAAGATATTTCTTCTATTAAATTTATTCTACTCACTTCTTAGAAATATTTTATGGATTCGACCGTTACTTGATGGAAATTCATTTTATGTAACAATAAATCACTGAAAACTTTGTTTTCAAACTTCCACAAAATTTATTTTAAACTCTTATCACTACACCTGGTTCGGCTGATTGAATTTCTCAAGTGATCTATTTTTGGCATGCGTTTACACTTTATAGTCTTTAATGAAATAGGTTGAGGAAGGAGGAACTGTTTGTCTCAAGTTGGTCATTCAGAATTATATCTGTGTTTTTTTAATTTGTTGATTTCTATAGATTATAACAAAGATAGCTTAAGGCCTTTATTTTGAATGTGAAGAATCTGCTATTATTTAAAGCCCTTTTATGTTCTGCTATTCGTTTATTAAAATTTCTACCAGTTTGACCCATGTTCGAGCAGAAAGTACGGGGTTTTTTCTCTGGTGATGGAAATACTAAGTTCAGGGCTTTCTTGTGTAATTTTTGATTTAATATTTTATTAATTGTTTGTTCGTTGTATCCATTGTTTACTGCTATTTGCTTAATGATATTTAATTCTGTCTCAAAGTTGTATTTTGACATCGGAATTTCTGTTAATGTACGTAACATATTATCATAGGCTGCCAGTTTATGTTGTGTGGGATGGGATGATGAATTGTGTATAGTTGTGTCAGTATGGGTAGGTTTATGGACTATGGAGAAGTCATGTTTGTTTTTAAGTCTGATAATTTTTAAATCTAAAAAATTTATGGATTAATTTTTCTGTTTCTATTGTAAATTCAATATGACTATGAAGTGAATTAATATACGATAAAAATTGGTCGAGTTGCCTGTTACTTCCTGTGAAACATACCAGTACGTCGTCTACGTATCACACTGGTAGAAATTTTAATAAACGAATAGCAGAATATACAAGGGCTTTCAATAATAGAAAAACAGATTCTACATACGCACTTCACCTTCTAGATCATAATCATTGTTTTAATGACGAATTTAAAATTCTTCACGGTCAAAATAAAGGCCTTAAACTATCTTTGATAGAATCTATGGAAATCAACAAATTAAAAAACACAGATATAATTCTGAATGACCAACTTGAGACAAACAGTTCTCCCTTCCTCAACCTATTTCATAGTTTCCTCAAGACTATAAAGTCTAAACGCACGCCAACAATAGGTCACTTGATAAAGGTTATCGGCCGAAACAGCTTTAGTGATAAGAGTTTAAAATAAATTTTGTTGTGTTTTTTTGCTGTAGTGATAAAAGTTTAAAATAAATTTTGTGGAATTTTGAAAACAAAGTTTGCAGTGTTACACTTATTTTCTGTTTGTTCTCAGGTTTTTTACCGTATTCCATGCTTCTCTTGATCTTGTTGACCCTATATATTGGTTAAGCTCTTCACATTTACTTTCCCAGGAAATATTTTTTGCTTTAGATACTAGATTTTTACTTCTCTGTTTGATCTTGCGTATATTCGTCTATCATCTGAGTCGTTGGTTTGCAGCCAACTTTTCACTATGAAAAAAATTGCTACTTTTCTCTCACAAATCGCACAAAAATAATTAACAAAACGAGTTGTGTCAATTGTCAATCCGAAAATGAGCACCAAATGAATGGCGGACCGGTTAAAATCGGCTTCACTTTCGCTTGAAGGCTAGATGGCGCGTTACCACTCCCTTGACGTGTAAAATTCCCTACTCTAAGATTACAACTGAAATATTGTGGATCCAATATTTTAAGTTTTTTTTTCGCTACTTAGGATCTGCCATTTAGAATATTCAAATTTTCATATCATAATTCAGCGAGGTCGAAAACATTCCAGTACCAATTAATTCAAATATTCAATTTTTCAACTTTCACCTCAAATTCGTTATCAGCGAGGTTGAAAACCTTATCGTCCCACTATGCGTCATGCCAGACTTAATTAATCGAAAAAAAATCGATTAAGGTAGTTAGATAAAATCGTTGATTGAATAACCCATTGAGTTATTCAATCAATGGTTAAATATATCATCTGCTGGGTCTTTTTTACCGTATTGGCAATAATTTGCCGTAGTGGTTGTGTTAATAGGACCCATAATTTCGTCACGGGATTCAATGATGTTTTGACATGAAGTTTCTTATAATGTGCTCCGTTGGAATTTTAATATTTTATTGAATTTGAGATTTTTTCTCTATTTGAATGTATGATCTGATTATTAACAAGAAGCGTGAGTGTGTAGCAAGGTTTAAATTCGTTAAAACTTTAAGCACTAAAAACAAAGTTTCTCGATATTATAAGAATGTAAGAAATAATAGCACAAATATCGAAATTTAACTATTTGAGAACGCAAATATCCAACTCGCATACAAGCTAATAAAGCAGCGTACGTGTCAGGATGCCTACGAGACGTGATATGGAGAAATAAGAACATGAGGATAGAAGGAAAAACACGCATATATAAGACTTGTGTACGACCGGTATTAACCTATGCTGTAGAAACAACAATTGCAAATAAAATCTTAAGAACAACAAATACACTGAGGACGATCGCAGGTAAAACTTTAAGAGACAGAATCCCTAATACACAAATCAGAGACATGCATAAAGTACCTAATATCGTTAGATGGGGACGGCAAAGAAGACGAGAATGGAACCAACACATTAACAGAACGAGAAGAGAGGTACTTACCCGAATAGTAAGAGATGGAAAACCAGAAGGTAAAAGACCACAAGGCAGACCTCCGAAAAAATGGAGAGACAGCTGGCAGTCAATAGCGTAAATACTACTAAATCGGACCGGAAACAATAGGCATTAGGGCTAACATACGAAGAAGAACTTTAAATAAACGAATTATAAAGTCCTGGATGTCAGTGATGAAAAATGTACATAGTCTTTTCCAGAAGCTGTTTATTTTTTTTTGTAAAATTTAATTTCAATAATTCCCACGGCCTATAAACGATTAAATAGTTTCCAAAAGTTTTTAACAAAGGACTTTGAATTTTGTCTTTAAGCTTCATGTAAATATCCATCTTCTTGTGCTATAGGGTTTAAATGTATTAATGATTGTACTCTAACTTTTAAACAAAAGAAAAATTGCATATTTTCTAAAATATGCCAGTTTCTTCCACAAACCAAACTTTTTCCATAATTCCTTCTTCTGTCAGTTATTTTTTTTTTTTAATATCAGTTTTAATAATTTTAATCTATTGTCATTTAATATTGCATGGCATAGATATTAGATATTGCATTTTGTACATATTGAAAAGTCTTTCAAACTTTCATTTCTTCTTCTATAACAGCCGTTAATTTTTCTGAATAGACAGACTCCTCATCAGCGCTTGCCATTTCGACACTTTCCACTATACCAATTATGAATTTTGATTGGCTTCAAAAAGGAAGAATAATCTTCGCAGTAATGCATAACAACTTAGAGGTCCCTTTTACGGGAAAACCTATCTATGTACACACAATATTCACAAATTTGTTACACATTTCCTTTGCCCAATCCTCATTTTTAATTATATCGAACAGCGACATATTTGATAACTAGAATGCATTTTCTCTAACTAATAAAAGGATTAGCCTTTGTGACCTTCAAGTTCACAGCCACAGATCCTTTGAATTGTATACTGCAGCGTTTGAAATATTTCTCTGGTTAGCTTACTGAAAGCTCACTAATCCATCAACCGACTCGGGAATAATCATATCATTTTCATAAATATGTACTTCGAAATTTTTTAAACACTCTCGTTAGAATGATCTCTTATGTAGTTATCATTTATTGCTGATTTACAAGTATCAACTTATTAATACTCGTTTTTGGTGGCATTCTATACTTAATTTTATTATTTATATAATTTTATTATAAAATTCATTATTTTCTTTTAGGTACATTCAACAGTAACAAGGCCGGATTTGTATCATCTCCAACCGACTACTACCTACGTCCTTACTTTTTAACTGCCGATACATTGACTCCAAAGTTTTTGTGTCTAAAGCCTTACTGTACTGGTCCAGAAAAAACTGGAGTTAGAATGCAAAATCTTGTTATTGACTTTCTAGAAACTATAAAAGGAAAAACTCCAGGTAAGTAGACTGTAGGGGTAATACGTATATCTAAGCGATTCAAGTCAGCTTAAAAGCAGTGGCGGCTGGTGTGGTAAAGTTTTGGGTAGGCCAAGCCAGCAAATTACATCGTAAATTTAGCGCCATATTCTGTTAATCTCTTATTATCGCCCAATTCCAGTTATTGAAACTTTTTGTAATCCTAGAAACGTTGCTCTAGTTGAGTGATAATATTGTCCAAAATCCCAAAAAATATCCTTCTAAATTTAGTTTGAGCTTTCTCCAAAAAACTTTGATCTCCGTTATTAGATGAACTACCAGGTAAAATATCAAGTTCACTACGACTTAAGATTGGTTTAGAATTGGTTTCTCTAACAGCAATGTTGAAATGGTTAGAAAATGTAAGGTCATTTCTCCAGCTCTTTAACATTGCTACACTTCTGAACATTGAATTGGCACACAATTGAACATCATTATTTTTTTTCTGCAAGATGTTGTATAAGAGCTCAGTTTGTTGAAATATATCACTAAAAACATTTAATAAAAATACAAATTCCAAATCCTCCAACTTACGTTTAAAACCATCTGCATGCCTACTTGATTTTGCATTTGATTCTGGGCAATTCATTATGTCCTGAAAGACTTGTAACAATTTTTTTCTTTCTTGTGACACAGCATATACTACTTTTGCATTTGAATTCCATCTTACTTCACTATTTGTGGTAATTCGTTTCTCAAGTATTTTATTTAATAAATAGGACCGTTTGGACGATTGGTGAAAATAAGCTGGAATACCTTGAAGCGTTGAGAAAAATATTCTGACTGTTGTAACGTTGAAGCAACTTTGCTGTAAAACTAAGTTGAGGCGGTGAGCGAAACAATGGGTAAATATTGCTAATGGTGCAGAATCTCTCACTAATTTTTGAAGTCCATTAAGTTGTCCCGACATAACACTAGCTCCATCGTAGGTTTGAGCAATTAATTTAGCTTTACAGTCAAATTTACCAATTACACTAAACAGTAAGTCACGTAACGTTGGAGCACTACGGTCTTCCCCTAGGTCAAAAAAACCTAAAAAATATTCTTGAACAACGCCTTTTGTATCCACTAATCTGCATACTATTGAACATTGTACCCTTTCAGTAATATCGGTTGTTTGTTTAAAAATGTGTTACAATTATAGATTATTTTACATATATTTTTATCTTAATTTAAAAGAAAATTTATATTACAATTCGATAATTACGTTACAAGTGACAACGATGGTCGGTGTAGGCCCGATCGGTTGGTGCCTAAACAGCAATCATAAAGACGACAATAAAAATCGTTGTCCGGCAAGCTGCTTAACTTCAAACGCTTTTTGTACGGGGATCTTATGTGAGCTGGGTAGGCCAGTTCCGATCGGGCCTATTAATGATATTTAAAATGCCTAAATATTTATAATAATTCGATGCTTTCTGTGGTAATATAATAGCATAGTTGTTTTAACGGACGTTAATCTATTGAGTAATTTAGTACATTTAAAAGTTATTTACATGCATTAACATAATTTTTGAATATATGTTTTTCAAATCATGAATGTGTTGCTTTGAATGTGTTGCTTGAATGTGTTGAATGTATTATTTCTTTACCTATATGTTTTTCAATTTTAAAGCTCTTAAAATTATTGGGTAGGCCCGGCCTATCCTGCCTACCCCTAAAAGCCGCCACTGCTTAAAAGGTACTTATGAGGGGGAACGCACTATCCAATCTGACACCCACTAGTCACTTCCCACAACCATTCTGCACTTATTTCGTGTCTTGTAAAAGCTGTCGTGAAATGAAAAGAGACCAGCAATTTTATACAATAAAGTTTTAATGAATATTTAGATCTAGTTGTAAAAAAGTATAAATAGATAGGTGTAATTACATATATGCCTCTGGTTGCGGATGATATAAGAAAATACATCTTAACTTTGTATTTTTCATCATGTTAAAACTAATTATACTCAATCTATCATAAGCGCTGTTGGAACAATCCACTACTTTAATGACCATGCGGGTCAAATAGATAGATGCGCGTGACCAGGAAATTGACAGTATTAGAATAAAATGAGATAGAACGTTGCCCTCTATTGCATCGTAAAACGTAATTTTGAATTTTAAATTAAAATGTATATTGGTTTGCTTCAAAATGAAAATTTCAAAAAAAATTATCTATACATAACAAATAAAATAATATTGTATATCAACATGTCATTAGAACTATTGGAAAATGATTAGCCATAGATAAAATGATCTTCGAAATTATTGTGTTAATGTTATATTTCTAATTAATAATTCAACTATGATAAATTAAAAAGAAAAATATTATTTTGGTACTAATAATTTTGTTTATTAGATAGAAAGATAGGAAATTCTGAATAGGGAAAATCAAAAAAGTTCAAGCAAAAGTTCCCTTTTGGTTATGCTATTTGCGAGTTTACCCGTGATTTTATTTTGCTTTTCTATAATTTTGTTATGTATATAAAAATAGAATCACTGCAGAGTATAAAAATTATATAAAAATTAAAAAAAAAACACTATACTCTAGCAAACAAAAAATGAAATTAGTCATCCAAAATCGCGCGTCGTAACTGGTCAAAAATACCCGAAATCATGTGTCAATCATGAATTCTCGGAAATTTTAAATTCGATCATTGGCGGAGCGTAAGAAAATATATGTTTCCTTGCTAGTCACTTTACATTGTAACAATAGAATATTATATTTCTTTATAACTATAATAATAATAAGAATACATTAGATCTAGTTTTTAAAATAAGTTTTTATGGATCCTATTGTTATAAATACAATCCTACCCGCAATTGATCCCAAGTAATCGGCAATAATCAGAACGAAAGCCGATTATCAAAATTAGAAGTTTATTTTTGAGAAAAATTGAATTCTCTTGAGTGTCAAAATATCCGAGTTAGTATATTTAATAGCGTAATCAGTCAATGTCCTGATATGTCGAAATCTATTTACACAGCCAAATAATGGCAAAACAGATGAAACAACAGCTGAAGAATTAGCAGCTAAATAAACGATTTCTGCAATGAAGCAAATACTTTCATTTTACAAGCGTCGATAAAAAAAACTGAAAATTTCGCCAAAAGTAGGACATAAAATAAACGTTTAGCTTTGCTTGGTATAGAACAGGAATGATATCACAGCCCAACAAAATGAAAAAATTTGGTGCTTGAGAAATAAAGAAATTCTATAGGGTATGTGATCACACGTATGACTCATTTCATTTTTATTTGTTTGAGTACAAACTGCACCCAAATAAAAAGAAGATATTAAATGTTCAGTTCCTATAAAGGTTCAATACCTGACATATTACTACTGAAGTATCATATCGCTGAGTGTCATCACTATTATCACAATATTTTTGCAATTTTACAATGAATTTGTTCACTTCAGTGACCAACAATGTACCATACATGTGATCTAGATTACTAATAAGTAGACACAAGAAATAATCTATACAAAAGAACAAAAAAGAAATAGGGAAGATAATAATTCTCCAAACACAATGACGTCACTGTTTTGAAATGTTTGAATCCCAAAAAAAACATAAATGGGATATTCATAAAACAAAGAGAAAAATGCAAATATCAGTTGAATAGAAGATGGTAAAATTCACTATATCAAACTATATTCAAGAATACCAAAATCAGAAATATTACAAAATAAGTAAAATAATCAGATAAAGTAATCAAATAAAATAATTAATAATAATATCAGAAAATAAATAATCAGAAAGTCTGTTTGTGGCACAGACCCCTGCAGGCAAACGACAGTTGTTTTGACCTCTATAACAAGAGCTTATATGTTTCCTGCAGTCGATTTTTTGGACTTACTTAGTTATTAACAAATAATGGTCAAAAAGCAGTCAATTTTCGCTTTCACTTTTAAAATTAAGTTTATTTGACAAAACATTAATAAATTAAACAAATTTTGTTTTTGTTGCTTGGTAAAAAGTTCTCCTAATAATTTAATTTTATCTGACTCATTCATATTCACAATTCCGACATATTATGTTATACATTTTAAAGTGACTTTAAAATGATATTACCAATATTTTTGAGTAGCGTTCCTGAAAATTCTCAAAATAAACTTCATTTTATATAATATAATGAACTATTTTACAATGAAGTCATCCCAGGAACGCATCTCAAAAATATTAGGGAATATTTGTCAACAAAAGCAAAATTTGTGTAGAGTTACAAAATTAGAATAACTTCTTAACTATTGCCTGTAGAAAAATTATTTTTTCATATTTGAAAAACACGCATTTTTTCCCAAATTAAAAAAAGCTGTCCTAGGAAAACTTGGACGAGGTTAATCCCTTTTTATTTATAATTCACAGCAGCTTTATTTATAACAATTAAGATTTAGCATAATTTGAAAGGACATACTTTAAAGTTTTAATGTATTTTAACAAGACCCAAATAACTACAGAGGTATTACCGTAACTAGCACACTAAGTCGACTATACGGAAGAATACTAAAAGACCTCATATGTGAAGAGTACCATCCATACGAGTCAGAGGAACAAAGCGGCTTTAGAGCAGGTAGATCCACAATAGACAACATTTTCTGTATAACCCAAGTAATAGAAAAGAGGCTGTCAAGAGCCCAAGAGTTGCATTTGCTTATGGTAGATCTAACAAAGGCATATGACACGGTACCCATTAATAGACTATGGGAAGTACTAGAAAAAACCAGCATAAATGTATCTATCATACAGGCGCTGAAAGAACTATATAGAAACTCGACATCTAAAATTAAAATTGGAAATAGAATATCCAAAGGTTTCCTCGTCACTAAAGGACTAAGGCAAGGATGCTGTGTATCGCCAGTATTATTTAATATATATATTGATGAAGCCCTGAGGCAGTGGAAGAAGAAGTGCAATGGAATGGGACTACCGATAGGAGATACGATACTCTATACGCTACACTATGCAGATGACCAAATTGTAATTGCACAGGACAAA